AGGTGGCAATTTTTCTCCAGGCCAGATTGGCTGGAGATCCTGGAGGGTTTTTTTTATGTTATCTTCTGGGCATGGAACAGTGGTCAGTGGGGGTGTGTGGGGGGAGGTATTTGTGAATTCCCTGCATTGTGCAGGGGGTTGGACTAGATGACCCTGGAGGTCCCTTCCAATTCTACGATTCTTCAGATACTGATAAATTCTCGTATGTCACACACAGAGGCATCATTTTGTATGCATAGGAATGGGAACATAAAAATACTTTCTTATTCTATATTTCATTTAGAATTTTCATATCCAAGATCTCTTTTCATTCTCTTGATAACCAGAAAGCAAATAAGGTAGGAGTTTGTGTGTGTGTGGTTTTCTAACCTGTTTTCTGTGGCTAGCTGCATGTTACGGGCTGACACTTAATAAAGGCTTTGCAAATGACTTTGAGCTCTGAAATAACCTTTGTGCATAAAGCTCTGCTAGATAAGAACATCAGAAGAGCCCTGCTGGGTCAGACCAGTGGTCCATCTAGTCCAGCCTTCTGTCTCACACAGAGGCCAACCAGTTCTTCTGGAGGGCCAACAACATGCCACAGAGGCCGAGGCCTTCCCCTGACATTGTCTCCTGGCTCTGGGATCAGGCCCGTAGCTACAATGGGGCATTGCCCCCTTAATTAAAAGCCCCGCCCCACAAACAGCACTTTTTCCAGCTCTGCAATGTCCTTTTTGAGATTCAGTGACCAGAACTGTACACAGTATTCCAAATAACGCACCATAGGTCTATACAGGGGCATTACAATATTGCCCGTTTTATTCTCAGTCCCTCTTCTAATAATCCCTAATATGTCGATATAGAAATGCAGAAGCACAAAAAGACATTTGCCATTGTTTGGTGGGTGGCGTCCGTGAGTTGTGTGGCTGCTGGTTCCCCAGGGTGAGGAGCTGTGGTCACCACCCCTGCCCAGCCAGCCAAAGACTAGCCATGATTTTACCCAGGCCAGGATTCCCTCTTTCAGGCGGGTTGGGGGCAGGGAAGGAAGTGGGTCCCTTTCCAGGGCCGTTTTAAGAACATCAGAGAAGCCATGTCGGATCCAGCCAGTGGCCCCTCCAGCCCAACACTCTCTGTCACACAGTGGCCAACCAGGTGGTGCTTCAGGAGGTCCACCAGTGGGTCCAGAACTCCAGAAGCCCTCCCACTGTTGCCCCCCTAGTACCAAGAAGACAGAGCATCACTTTCCCAGAAAGAGCATTCCATCTATACCTTGTGGCTAACAGGCACTGATGGACCTCTGCCTCATGCTTATCCAGTCCCCTCTTGAAGTTGATAAGAACATCCGAGAGGTCATGTTGGATCAGGCCAATGGCCCCTCCAGCCCAACAACTCTGTATCACACAGTGGCCATTGGCCAAAACCCAGGTGCCATCAGGAGCTCTACCAGCGGTGCCAGAACTCCAGGAACCCTCCCAATGTGGGCCTCCAACCCCCAAGAAGACAGAGCATCACTGCCCCAGACAGAGTGCTCCCTCTATACCTTGTGGCTAACAGCCACTGATGGACCTCTGCTCCATGTGTTTATCCAGTCCCCTCTTGAAGTTGATAAGAACATCCGAGAGGCCATGTTGGATCAGGCCAATGGCCCCTTCAGTCCAACAAGTCTTTGTCACACAGTGGCCATAACCCAGGCGCCGTCAGGAGGTCCAGCAGTGGGGCCAGGACACTAGAAGCCCTCCTGCTGTTGCCCCCCCCCCCCTCCAAGCACCAAGAAGACAGAGCATCACTTGCCCCAGGCGGAATGTTCCATCTATACCTTGAAGCTAATAGCAACCGATGGACCCCTGCTCCACCCTGTCCATCCCTGATTAAACAGAAAGAAAGAAGAAATCCTTCAAAATCTCAAAGCAAAGTGTGGTGGCACTTTCCACCACCACCGAGCTGCCTTGAGCTCCATGAGGAATAAAGGCGGTGAATGGATGGTTAAAAGAGAAAAATGAAATTAAAGACCTCACACTGCCCTCACTCTGAATGGGGAGGAAGGGAAGAGCAGGAGTGACAGGCTATAGCAAGACCAAGAGTATTGCCCTTGTGACCACTGCAATGGAGATGTTGAAGCATGGACGGCTTCAAAAGAGAATTAGATAAGCATATGGAGCAGAGGTCCATCAGTGGCTATTAGCCACAAGTTATAGATAGGGACTCTGGGGCAAGTGATGCTCTGTCATCTTGGTGCTTGGGGGGGTCAACAGTGGGAGGGCTTCTAATGTCCTGGCCCCACTGGTGGACCTCCTGATGGGACTGGTATTTCTGGCCACTGTGTGATACAGAGTGTTGGACTGGATGGGCCTTTGGCCTGATCCAACATTGGAGTCTCTTATGTTCTTATGACCTCCCCCCCACAAACCCCCCCCCCAGTATGGTATCTTTTTGAGGCCTCCTCCTATGGATGCCAGTCTCCAGGTGGGGGTGCAGGATCCCTCAATTTTTCGGGCTCCCCCCAGATGCTTGCAGGGGGAAGCCCCACCCCACCCCAACAGTCATCTGCAGCCCCGCTTGAAAAGAGCAGGAGCCGTTCGTGTCTGCCCCGCAAGCAGCAAATTTGCAGCTTGGAGGGCAGGTGGCATCCGCTCTTTCAGCCCCACCTCCCTCACAGGGTGTCTGTTGTGGAAAGGGGAAGGGAAAGGAGTTTGTAAGCCACTCTGAGACTCCTTTGAGTCGTGAAGGGCGGGGTGTAAATCCAATCTCTTCTCTTCTTCTTCTTCTTCTTTTCAAGCAGGGACCGCCCGTGCCTGTCTGCTTTTCCCCCAACCATTTAAAGGGAAGGTTCCCTTTACATGGTAGGGGGGAAATGTGGGGGGTGTGCGTGCATGGCGCTCCGTCCATGACACGATGACGTCACCCTGTGTGATCTCATCCCATCGGGGACGGCCCCTTCCAATGCTCCCTCTAAGCTGTGGAGTCTTGTGAGCAAAAATTCTGCTTTGTGAGCTACTGGCATTAAAGCGATGACCCGGCAATTTGGCTACTGCATAGATCAGTTTGCTCTGGAGCCCTCCTTCCCGAGCTAAGACAAAAATCTGTAACCCAGAGGCTAAAAAACTGTGAGCTAGCTCACACTAACTCAGCTTAGAGGGAACACTGGCCTCTTCCCTTCCTGGCATGCCCCCCAAATCCCCCGTACCAATAAGAAGACTGGATCTGGCAACCCTGCCTCCTCCACAAACATTTCCAAGCAGGGAGGCTTTTTTTACAGGACGTGCAAAACACGGTCGTGAAAAATGCCTCCCACTTCTGCATAGTCTCATCACTTTTCTGGCTGCTTCGGTGACACTCTGTGTGAGAGGCTGACGCATAATCACGAGGGTTACAGAGCTCAAAGTTTCTCATCCAACGTCTGCCTTTGACTCTGAGTGTTACGGGTTTGTGTCTTGTCGGCTGCTTTCTACGTCCCATTGCACTCTGAGCACATGCTCTCCAGGGTGTATGCTGGCGACGAGGCTGAGGATGGGGAGTCATGTGTACAAGAGAACACAGGCAGCAGGTGGCAGGTGGATGCGTAGAAGCAGTGATGTACGGGCTTCAATATCCTGTCGATGGTGCCAGCCTCGCTATGAAAACGGCTGCAACAACGCAAAAATATTTATAAGAATAACCTATCAAATTGTTGTTGCATATCACCCACAATATCACAATAAGAAGCATGTACACAACCACAGCTAGCTGGGCTGCGGTGGCTCAAGGGGTTAAGACACTGAACTGCAGACCAGAAGGTCGGTAGTTCAACGGTTCGAGACCCGAGTGTGCCGCATGACGGAGTGAGCTCCCGTCTCTGGCCCCAGCTCCTGCCAACCTAGCAGTTCGAAAGCAAGAAAGTGCAAGTAGATAAATAGGTACCACTTCGGTGGGAAGGTAACAGCATTCCGTGAGCCTCGGCATCCAGTCATGCCAGCTATATGACCATGGAAACATCTTTGGACAGCACTGGCTCTTCGGCTTGGAAACGAAGATAAGCAGTGCACCCCTAGAGTTGGATTCGTCTGCTTTCAAGCAAGGGAAACCTTTACTTTTACTTACAACCACGGCTATCCAAACAGAAGATGACACTAGTGTTACCAACAATTAGAGACTGTGTTATCTTTTGTTTGGATAGCCGTGTATGTACATGCATCTTATTGTGATATTGTGGGTTATATGCAACGACAAATTCGATAGATTATTCTTATAAATACTTCTGCGTTGTTGTGGCCGTTTTTCATAGCGATTCTTTGATGTACACTCCTACTCTGGGAATCCTTATTGTTAAACGAGCATCTGATAGACCGGCAGTAGTCCAATTAGATCGGGATCCCCAACATAAGATCATAAGAGATGCCAATGTTGGATCAGGCCAAAGGCCCATCCAGTCCAACACTCTGTGTCACACAGTGGCCAGAAATACCAGGGGCCATCAGGAGGTCCAGCAGAGGGGCCAGGACATTAGAAGCCCTCCCACTGTTGAGCCCCCCCCCCAAGCACCAAGAAGACAGAGCATCCCTTGCCCCAGAGCCCCTATCTATAGTAAGGTTTCCCTTGCTCGAAAGCCAGTCGAGTACGACTCTAGGGTTGCGGTGCTCATCTCCGTTTCAAAGCCGAAGAGCCAGCGCTATCCGAAGACGTTTCCATGGTCATGTGGCCAGCATGACTAAACACCGAGGTGCACAGAACGCTGTTACCTTCCCACCGAAGTGGTACCTATTTATCTACTTGTAATTTCATGCTTTCGAACTGCTAGATTGGCAGGAGCTGGAACTAGAGACAGGAGCTCACTCCATCATGAGGCACCCGGGTCTCGAACTGCTGAACTACCGACCTTCCACAGCCTGCAGTTCAGCATCTTAACCACTTGAGCCACCGCAGCTCCTATCTATTTCTTGTGGCTAATAGCCACTGATGGACCTCCGCTCCATATGCTTATCTAATTCCCCCTTGAAGCCGTCCATGCTTGTAGCCGCCACCACCTCCTGTGGCAGTGAATTCCAAGTGTTAATCACTCTTTGGGTGGAGAAGTACTTCCTTTTATCCGTTCTAACCCGACCGCTCAGCAATTTCATTGCGTGCCCATGAGTTCTTGTACTGTGAGAAAGGGAGAAAACTACCTCTTTCTCTACCTGCTCTATCCCATGCATAATCTTATAAACCTCAATCATGTCACCCCTCAGTTGCCGTTTCTCCAAGCTAAAGAGCCCTAAGCGCCTTAACCTTTCTTCATAGGGCCACCCATGGGTCCCCGGGCACCCACCGACACCTATTTTGGTGCCCACCAAGTGTCTTTAGAAAGAGGGTGGGATCAGATGGGTTTCTAGCCCACCTGGGCTTCTGACTGGCCACTGAAGATCTGACCGGCTGTGTAGATTAAAATAGCAATTTTTCAGTGGCAGTGTTTGTTTTCTTGTCTCACACCCCTCTTTCCCACAGGCTCGCAAAGGTTGGGGGCCCCTCAGTTAGATACCTTTGCAAACAGAGATTTGAGGCTCAAGTAGGTAGAGGAAGCCAGACTGAGTGTTGAAGCTTCTAGCTCTTGTTTCGAGATTGGCCACCATTCATCTCAGTTCAAAAGGTGGCGTTTGCTGTGGTGTGATGCTCTTGTGCGTTCTCGGGGCATGGAATGAACGTGTGCATTAACAAAAAAAAAGGCTTCCGCATGGGTTTGGTTTTTCTCACTAACAAGAGGCAAAGTGACAGCGTGGTTATGCTCACACTTGAAACCTGTTTCCTTAAGGATGGCCGAGGCTTCTGAGAATGGAAAGTCAACCAAAGCGAGCATCCAGAAGGCGGAGGCTGATCTGCCACCACCCCCTTCACAGGAGTCTGTCCCAGACCCACCTCCAGTTCCCGGGAGCCAGGATTCTAACCCACTGCCTCCCCCGCCTCCTAAAGAATCCTTCTCCAAGTTCTACCAGCAGCGTCAAGTGAACGAGCTGAAGCGACTCTACCGGCACATGCATCCCGAACTGCGGAAAAATCTGGAAGAGGCCGTGACGGAGGATCTGGCTGAGATGCTGAGCGCCGATGATCCCACAGCGCAAGCCTCCGTGAATTCAGACCCAGTGCTTCCAGGGGAAGTTCAGTCCATGCGCTGGATCTTTGAGAACTGGACATTGGACTCCATCGGAGAACATCAGGGTGCCAAGAAGCTCGCAGAGGAGGAAGCCATCCCAAGTGGGGACGTGAAGATCAGGTCCATGAAATTTGAAAGCCAGTCATTCAATGGAGACAGGCTGACTGCCTTGGGCAGTGCATCCAAGAACGAGCAAACCAAAGGGGATGTTCACACCGCTCGGTGGTTATTTGAAACCCAGCCGCTAGACTCGTTGAACAAAATGTATTTGGATGAGACTGATATGCAAGAGGCGGTACTCAAGGAACCTGTCCAAAAAGGGGACGTGAAAGGAGCCGCGCAGCTCTTCGAAACTCATTCGTTGGACGCTTTGGGCCGCTGCAGCTCGGTAGAGGAGCAGAGCATCCTGCAACTCAAGTCCGAGATCCAGGAGCTCAAAGGGGATGTGGAGAAGACCATCAAACTGTTCCAAACAGAGCCCCTCTGCGCCATCAGAGATAAAACAGGAAACATCCACGAGATCAAGTCGGTCTGCCGGGAAGAAATACACAGCAACGCCGTGAGGACGGCTCGTTGGCTGTTCGAAACCCAGCCCCTTGACACCATCAACAAGGACACGTCCAAAGTGCAAGTTATACGAGGGATATCGTTAGAGGAGGTCGCAAAAGGGAATGTCAGCGGAGCCAAGTGGCTGTTCGAAACCCAGCCCCTGGACGCCATCAGAGAAATTACTGTCGAGGAGGCAGATTTCAAGGCTTCTCCGGAACTTGTCCAAGGGGCTGATGTTACTAAGCAGTGCCTGCTTTTTGAGACTCAGCCTCTTGATGCACTGAAAGGAGAAGTCACTGACAGCACCCCAGCCAAAGAAGAAGTCATCAGAGGGGATGTAAAATCGACCCTCTGGCTGTTCGAGACCCAACCAATGGAAACACTAAGGGATAATTTTGAAGTTGGGCAATTGAAGAAAGTGGAGCTTTCAGAAGAGGAGAAAGGAGCTGTGAAGCAAAGGAAGCACGTTTTTGAGACCTGTCCTTTGGGAAGCATCTCCAAGGCCCTGTCCGAAGACCTCTCAGCCACCAACATACAAGAGGTAGAGAAAGGCGACGTGAAAGCTTTCAAGAGTCTCTTTGAGACCCTCCCTTTAGATAGCATCAGGCAAGTCAGCACCGAAGAGGTTGCCAAGGAAGCAGAGGAAGTACCCCGTGGGAACGTCAAAGCCAACCAGTTCCTGTTTGAGACAACACCCTTGTACGCCATCAAGGATTCCTTTGGGAATTTCCACGAGGTTACTTCCGTGAGCAGAGAAGAGGAGGTTGTGGGTGGAGATGTTAAGAACTACAAATGGAAGTTCGAAACCAAGCCTTTGGACCAGTTTGACGACAGCTTCCAGAAAGTAGACATCATCAAGGGGATCACAAAGCAGGAAGTGGTGGCCGGAGACGTTAAGACGGCCAAGTGGCTGTTCGAAACACAGCCCATCGATGTCATCCACAGCCAAATCAACCTGACGGAGCAAAATGCTTCTGAGAAAGGAGAGGAGTCCCAAGGAGGTGACGTGAAGACCTGCAGGTGGTTGTTTGAGACGCATCCAATGGATGCTCTATACGAAAAGACAGAGAAGAAGCAAGACAGAGAAGAACCTGTGCCACAAGGGGATGTCAAATCGTACACTTGGATGTTTGAAACACAGCCCTTGGACTCCCTGAGAGGCCAGGAAGAGCAATATTTGCAGGTCAGCAAAACATTTCCCCAAGATGAATTACAAGGGGTAGATGTGAAAACCGCCAGACACCTATTTGAGACAGAACCCTTAATTGACAATGCCTCTGACGATGTCAATTCAAAGAAAATAATCAGGTACTCCAGCCGCATAGAGATGCAATCTGGAGAGGTGTCCCGGGTGAAAGAGTTATTTGAAGCCAAGCCCTTGGATTCGGCCGGGAAATCAAACACAGCCACGAAAGAGATCAGTTTCCCAGAAGATGAGAACATAGAGCCTGGGGCTGTCCACAAGTTTACTTGGCTCTTTGAAAACTGCCCCATGGACACCTTGAAAAGCAGCACGGAGGGCTTTCAAGAGGTACCTCCAGAAAAGGACATTCGGAGTGGAGACGTTGGAGGCAAGAGGTTCATCTTCGAAACCTACTCCCTGGATCAGATCCATGACAAAGAGAATGAGATACAAATCAAGAAGATCCAGGAACAGACCCTGAACAAAGCCGCTGTCAAGTCCTGTACCATGCTCTTTGAGACTCAGCCGCTGTACGCCATCCAGGACAGAGAGGGAGGCTATCACGAAGTCACATCGGTGAAGAAGGAAGAAATCGTGAAAGGTGACGTGAAGGGTGCCAGGTGGCAATTTGAAACCAAACCCTTGGATCAGATCAAGAAAGACGAAGAGGTGTTTGTGATCAGGGCAGTGACCCAAGAGGACTTCAAGAAGGGCGATGTCCAAGCGGCCCGGTGGAGATTTGAAACGGAGCCTCTAGATTCCATTGCTGAAGATAAGAGGCCAGTTCTGAGGACCGTTGACGATGTACAGAGGGGAGATGTCCAGTCCAATAAGCAACTCTTCGAGTCAGAGAAGTTCGGTCAAAAAAGGTACGTTAGGATGGTCAGTGTGAGTGATGTCCAGCAAGGAGATGTAAGGACATCCACTTGGCTTTTTGAGAACCAGCCCATCGATTCCCTCAAAGGACAGCCTGAAAGCACCTCCACCCTCAACACTGTTCAGAGAGAGGACATCCATAAAGGGGACGTGAAACGCTGTACCTGGCTATTCGAGACTCAGCCCATGGACAGTCTCAAAGACACTGAGGCTTCCTCCACTGCCGGACCCCCAGAGGTTGTTCCCCAGGCCAATGTCAAGAGCACCACGTGGTTGTTTGAGAGCACGCCACTGGATAAACTCAGCACCTCTGAACGCTGCACAGAAATGGAAGTGAAGGAGAGAACCATAACAGACACGTTGGGAGTCCTCTTCTCCCGTCAAGTGATCCAACATGGTGGCATTCTTATCGAAGCCAACGATTCCGAGAGTGTCAAGATGGCAAAATATCAATGCAGCAGTCAAGGAGCCCCAGAAGTTCAAAAGGAGGAAGTCGTGGGAGGCCATCTGGAAAGGATCTTGTTGCAGCTCCTGCACAGGACCAACGTGGAGGCCCAAGGGTTGCTGGTGAAAGAAGAGGAGAACGGGGATATCAAAATCAGCCCGGTGCAGCTTTTAGACCCAAGCACAGCAGAGAAAAGCAAAGAGGACTTGAGGAGTGATGTGGCAAAAGCTCTCCACAGCCTCCTGAGTCAAGATGCCTCTGCCAAGAAAGGAATAGTTATGCAGGAGACAGGGACTGGATCGGTGAAGATCACCATCTATTCTCTCTTGCACTGTGTTGCCCAGCAAGAAGAACCTGTCAAGGGTGATGTGAAGTCCACCATCGGGAATCTGCTGGCTTCATCGCAAGAGCAAAAGGCAACAGCAACCATCAGGCGAGAGGACAACGAGAGAGGCAACGTCCACCTGTACACCACCTGCATCGAGAAGGGAGATCTTGACTACCTAAAGAACCTCCAAAGGGATTCGGAAATAGAATCCCTTGTTTCCTCCCAAGCCAAAGAGGAACCACCGAGAAATGCGCAAGAGGTCACAGCACCCGCCCAGCCGCAGGAAGAAAAAGGAGTGAAAACGACAGCAGATGTGACATTAGGGGGTAGCAGTGGGCCTAAACAAGTGTTCTTGTGTGACAGCAAGGAAGGTACCTTAGAAAGGGAGGCAGTGCTTGCCGGTGATCCAGATTGTACTTTGCGTTGTCTTAGGCAACTCCCATCCGCAATGGTAGAAACTGTTGTTTCAGGAAATGTGAAATTGGCTGAGAGTGGTAGCAACGGGGCAGTGAGGGAAGGGAAGAAGGAAGGCGATAGAAAGGAGGGAACAGACTCCACCAAAGTGGCAACTCAGAAGGACGAGATCGACGGGGCTATCCAGGCGACGGCGCAGCCCAAATCGCAAGACCTTGGGGGTGATCTCCAAGCCGCAATGCAAAGCCTCAGGCTAGCCACAGCAGAGGCCCAAAGCCTCCAGCACCAAGTCCACAACAAGTTGCAAAAGACCACTGAAAATATCCATCTCGTTACTAAGCAACCCCAGGCGGCCACGCCTCAGCAGGCGGCGGCCCTGCAGGCAACAGTCTACGACGAGGGCCGTGCAGCCGGCAAGAAGCAGCACGCAAGCAACGTCGCCATCGTCCGAGTGCAAGAGACGTCCAAGTCCCACACCAGCGTGTCTCAGAAGAGCACGGTGTCACGCACAAAGGTCAGTGCATCCGAGGAAGTACAGGGAGGCAAGCTGCCCCCGGTAGACTATCAGGATGGTCCCGTGGCGCCTAGTGCCCAGATTAGCATTAAGGACGGCCTTTATACTGCCCAGCCAGTGAAAACCTATGTAAATCCATTTGTTGAGTCTGATTACAAAGAGCACTCCGTTCCAGAAGAACGCGAGCAAGATGCTATAATCAGAGGGGATGTAAAGATGGCTATCAGAGCCCTGCAGAGTGCAGCGGCAGAACAGAGGCAAGTAGAAAAAGAGGACGTTGTCCGCGGCAGCTTAAAAGCCGCCCTCGAGTCCCTGGAAAAGTCTAACGTTAATGTCTCCAAAGGAGATTTTAAAGCAGCCATGATATACAGAAATGCAGGGCAGCCGTATCCCGCTCGTAAAAATAAAAATGAGGCTCAGATTCTTAGGGAGCAGGCAGCTGTAGCGGCTTCGGGCTCTCAAGCTGTTAATGACTTTCCTCCTCCTCCTCCTCCTCCAGCTTCAGTAACGGGAATTGTGTGCCCTTCGACCAATCTGAGAGACGCCGATGCTCTAAGCTGTCCCATGACCATGCAACCATCTGTTCCTAAGACTGTTCATCCTGCCCCCGCCAAGCCAAGTGACCAGAGACCTTTAGAGAAACCACAGCTTTTCCCCAAACCAGAAGTTATCCCCCCACCCAGGAAGAAACCTCTTCCACCTCCAAAACCAGAGTTCCTTTTGCAAGAAGCACTGTCCCACCCTGCCGGCAGCCACCAAAGCCGATCGGGAAAGGCGGTCTCTCCTCCTTTCCCTTCCAGATCTCCAAGCAGGGGTGACCCGAACGTACCAGCAACCTCGCCCACAAATCAAGCACAGGCATCTGGCGGGGCCAACGTTCTAGACCCATCTGCACTGAGACGAGATTCAACTGACTGTCCTCTGCCTCCACCGCCGGTGGCAACTGCCGTCGAGAAAAGGGGTTTTGCAGAAAAAGCAACAAAGGATATTATTAAGACACCTCTGCAAGTAGCAGAAGAAAAGTATAAGTCAAGGAGAGAAGAGCAGAAGAAGCTGGAAGCAGCTGACCTTAAACATTCATCGGAGCCTATTAAAAATGGGTTCACTGACTGTGAAAGCCATCCAACAAAAGAAATTCAAGAATCCCTGGGGTCCTGCCAGCCAGAAAATGGATGCTCGCTACCTGCAGGGCAAGAGGGCGCCTTGTCCCTTGAAGGCCAGATAGGTCCTGTGCACGTGGAAGGTCAGAAGAAGCCATATCTTTCTGCCAAGTGTCATGCTAATGTTCTAAGGAAGGGAACCGTCACGACGCATGCCTCGTCATCGAGGATAGAAAGTACATCTACGTGCGAAGCTCGTGGATCAAGGGATAACCAGAAAACAAGTCCAAGGGCAGAAGAGATCATTCCAGAAGCCGCCGTTTCAGCACCTCCGTCTCTACCATCAAAGCAGATCTCGAAAGGGCATCAGTGTTTGAACAGCAGGGAGTTTGGAGATCTGTCAATGAACACAGTGCAACATGCAGAGACGGAAACGCCTGTGGTGGTCATGCGGGAAAAAGCTTGCCGGGAAACGGAAGAAGAACGCCGCAAGAGGCTGTCTGTCCACAAGGAAGAAATCATGCAAGGCAACGTTAAAGAGGCCATGGAAATATTTGAAAATCTGCGGAAGCAGGAGGAGCTGCAGGAGATTTTAACCCGTGTGAAGGAATTTGAGGACGAGACCTCCAAAGTGGATGTGAAAGCCCTGAAAAGCTTCTTTGAGAAGGTCCCTGAGTGGGTGGTGCATCACCAGGTTCACCAGATAAAACCGCCCAAGATGGACAAGGCTGAGCAGATAAAGGAAGTGAAGGAAGACACTGACAGCATTTCTTCCGTGGAGCTGGCCTTTGAAGATTTGGAGAGGGCAAGCGCCGAGATCATTCACTTGAAGGAGCAGACGCTAAGCCGGCTGCTGGATATCGAAGAGGCCATCCGGAAAGCTCTCTATTCCATTTCTAACCTCAAGTCTGAATCAGACATCGCTGGGCTTTCGGGACTGCTCCAGGAGTCTCTCGGGAACTCACAAAGCCTGGTGGCCGGCAACAATATCCGCAAGATCAGCATTGTATCCAGCAAAGCCAGGCAAGAGAGAGGGATCCAGAACTCGTCCTGGGGAGTCGAAAAGATGGCAGAAAAGACCGAGATGCCCAAGATAGAGCTAGAGGTCCCCTTGATCATTCAGCCCCGGGCAAATTCCCCTTCTTCTCCTTCCTACATCTCCATTCAATCTGCTGCAAGGAAGCCTGCAGAGTCACCCAAGATGGCACACTCCTCTGCACTGAATTTAATCGACGCGGCCGCGGAAAGGGAACTGTTCACTCAAGGTCTTTTTAGCTCGCTGCCGCGCAAGTCCGTGAGGTCCGACGGATGCAACTTGGCTTCTTGTGAAGGTGAACAAGAGCCCATCCAGATGAGTAAAGGAACGGGCTTGGTTAAACAACAACGTCTCAGCGGTTCGGAATCTCTCCAGCCCCAGATTAACAACAACGGTGACAAAGAATGGGACTCGTCTCAAAGTTTGATCAAAGGAGGAGTGCCCGACTACCCTTCCAAAGCTTCCCTGAGTGCTTTAAGCCCATCAAACCCACGGAGACAGAAAAGCATACTAGAACTTCAGACAAGTCCTGATGGATCCAAGCTCTATGGGGCCACCAGAACTGTGATGGAGGAGTATGAGGAGGTGGATGAGTTTGGAAACAAAATAATCACTTCCTCCACGACGGTCACCAAACAATCGGAGACTCAGACCTCCTCCACGTGCGACATGGTTTCCTGCCCTACCAGGTACGAAGTGACCGCCTCGCCGATCCTCCGCAAATACCTCAACAGCCCAGACGGCTTCCCCACAAGCAGCGGCAGCCAGGAAACAGGGGTGGTCTTTGTTACTTTTGGCAATTCCAAACCGGCGAAGAAATAAGAAGATCATTTCATGGGAAAGCAAACAACGGCAGCTGTGATCCACAAACATTAAATGGCAGGACTTGGATGGGAGGCAGTTTTAAGCCGACATTTTAAAAGGACTTGTTTGACTTAAAATCTAGGTTGTTGGAAACGAAGCAATTTGTGGATTAGGCAGCCTGTTCGAGGAGAGCTTTGCAAAAACTTTCAGAATACAGTCTTACAGCTTGCGAATGAGTCAAACGATACATTTGGAACCGGTTCGTGAAGAAATGGCTACCGATTTGCTATCACAAGAGATATATAGGGCCTGGAATCCAGAGGAAAGAAAATCTGGATAGAACAAACGAATGGGTGGGAGGCGCGGGAGTACTCCTCTCAAGAATTTTCTATGTCTTTTCGTGACTTTGCATTATATAACCAAGGATTGCCAACTATACGATACCAAGATCCAGAGTTTGTTTCCAACAACCGACCGTGAGATTCTCAAAGCAGAGGCCAAAGGACTCAATTAAAGAATCAGTGAGTCAATAATTTTTGGAAAAGCCTTCATTTTCTTCTTTTTGCTATCGAAACAAACCTTCCTGCCTGCCATTTTTTCTTCTTCTCTCTCACCTTCATAATCACCCAAAAAGAGACACATCTTCCTTCCTGTATAGGGTTGAAATCATTTCTTTTTTCACTACCAGACCACTTTCATTGGGGGGGGGGGAGAGAGAATGCGTAGCACTAGTCATATTTAGCCAGAGCTGAATGCTATGGGGAAGTACATGAAATCAGAACAATTTCTGACATTATTACCCTTGTCCCTAAGGAGAAATTGAAATCGCATTATTCTAGTTTAGACTGAGATGGATTTTAGACAAACTTAGAGTTATTGCTTTTCTCTTTTTTATTTTAGATTTGTAATTTATTGTTCCTTGTTAACAAGTCTTTACTTTTCGACTCTGCTTTCTTACGTGCTCAGTGTTTAAATCAGTGACGAAACTGTGTAAAGCAATTTTATTATGGACAATTTTTTGTACATTCACAAGACTTTTGTGGGTTTCTCTCTTTTTTAATTTGCATTCTGATGGTAAATTTGACTTCTGAAAAATATTCCGATCTCACCGTGGTTTTTGTTCTGTTCTGCCTGGAGGCTCGAGTCCTTTTAAACAGCACTTAACGATCTCTCCCTTGAACTACTTTCAGAGGGGTAACCAAGCAAGTCCCTTGCAGCTAAATAAAATGGAAGTTACGCGGCCCTTAAAGACAAGCACCATTCTCATTCTAGCATAAGATCTTTGTCAGAACCCACAGCCAACAATGGAGTACACACTTCTTTAGAAAGGTTATACTTTTATTGAAAAGCCATGGATGCATTAACATAGTCACTGTTAACAATAGCAGTTGCCTCTTGAACCTAATGAGATATAGGGCATTCGTATGCACACACACCCCACTGCGCTGGCCAATTAGGCACCCTCCCGCGCGTGGGCTAGAGCCGGCAAGCGTTACTAGGCGAAGCTGGGAATTGTTCAGCTCCCACGGTCGGCCTGGAAGGCAGACAACACACATCACCACCTGTACATCTTTAGAGATAAGCATTTCAGCGCAAAGCAGAGAGAAAGGAATGCGAAAGCAATTTACACAGACACTGAATAAACATCCCAACCCCCATGGCAGCATAGCTGACAATTTTGTGGTCCACAAAAGTGTATGCTAAAATAAAAATTCCCACTGACTCAGTGTGATTCTCATTAAAGGAAAAGGATTTCATATATTTAAAATTTCCATTAAAAAAAATCTAACCAGTTGCCCTGACCTGGAGAGCCCAAGCAAGTCTGATCTCGTCCATTCTTGGAAGCATGGTCAACCCTGGCAAGTACTTGAAAGAGAGACCTCCAAAGGAATACCAGGGCTGGGACGCAGAGGCAGGCATAACAAGCCACATCTTGTTGTACATATCGGATTCCATGTCAAAATTGAAGTCAAATGAGGAGGAAGATCTATGTTTTTTTCAATTAACAGAAAAACAATTGGACCAAATAGTTAGGATTGCCAAGTCCATCATCCACCCCCAGCGGGGGACTTTGGGGGCGTTCCTGGAGGGGGCGAGGCATCCCCGATGTGATGACGTCACATTGGGGATGTCCACCGCCGCCCCCCACCTGCCCGCATGCCAGATCTCCAGAAACGGCAGTTCCCTGCACTTAAAGGAGCTGGCGTTTCCCTTTTAAGTGCAGGAGCCGACGTATCCCCTTTAAGAGCAGCCGCGTTTCCTTTTTAAGTGCACGAAGCTGGCATTTCCCTGTGAGCCTGATCTCAAGCGGAGATCGGGTTTGGGAGGAAACACGGGTTCCACACACTTAAAGGTAGAGAGAGGGGTGGCTGTGGGTGTTGGGGACGGGGCTTCCCCCGCTGGCCATCTGGCCGGCGGTGGGTAGAACCCCCCCAAAACGGGGGACCCCTGGCAAACCAGGGGGTTTGGCAACTGTACGAATAGTCCATTCAAAATTGACTACTTTCTTCTCAGCATATCTAGGGAATATGCTTCAATTATCAGGAAAAACCATTGGACCCAATAACTCATCAACAATTGACAACTTTCTTCTTTTTCTTCTTCACCTTCTTCTTCTGGAACATATTCTGAACATATTCAGGAAATACATGATATTTTATACATGGACTGACATCATCAAGAAAATATTCAAAAAGCATAATTGGTTATAAAAGACAATGGTAATTTGAGTAATAATCCTCTGATTGGCCAGATGTAAAGAAACGTATATCTACGTCAGTCTAAGCAAAACCGAAGTGTTTACTTAACCTAACCTAAATGATAATGGGCAAGGATTCTTCATACCCTAAACAAAAGTATTCATTACTGATAACGAGACTAAAATCGTCTCTGACCCAGACATTGCAAGGTTTTGCCCTTAAGAACTACAGAACCATGAACTTTGTACCTATTATATTGTCTGCTAACAATATCAGACCTACAAGAGGAAAGCCTTCTATATAACAGGCCTTTCGTACATTCTAATAAAATATTACTTAAAATAAATCTATAAAAACCAGAGAAATATGAATAATCAAAAAAGGGGGAAATCTTTCTAGTCCCATCTCTACTACATCTTTGAAAAATGTCCAAGCCCCAGTAAGGTAAAGGTAAAGGTTCCCTGTGCTCGAAAGCCAGTCAAATCCGACTCTAGGGTTGCGGTGCTCATCTCCGTTTCAGAGCCGAAGAGCCAGCGCTGTCCGAAGACATTTCCGTGGTCATATGGCCGGCACGACTAAACACCAAGGCGCATGGAACGCTGTTCCCTTCCCACCGAAGTGGTACCTATTTATCTACTTGCATTTTCTTGCTTTCGAACTGCTAGGTTGGCAGGAGCTGGAACTAGAGACGGGAGCTCACTCCGTCATGCGGCACACTCGGGTCTCGAACTGCCGAACTACCGACCTTCCACAGCCTGCAGTTCAGCGTCTTAACCACTTGAGCCACCGCAGCCCCAGTAGGAGTCTCCAAAAGCTACCATGACATCCAGGCATGCAAGCACGCACACGCACACACACAAAACCCTTAAAAAAATAATCTGACCCGTTCAACATAAAGCATGTATTTGGGTAAGATCCAGAGTTTCACTTAGGGAACGGATAGTGTTGCCAGCTCTGGGTTGGGTGTGGAGGGCAGGGTTTGGGGAGGGAGGGACTTCAGCGGGATAAAATGCCACGGAGTCCACCTTCCAAAGGAGCCGTTTTCCCCAGGTGAACTGATCCCTGCTGCCTGGCAATTAGCTGTAATCCCAAGAGACCTCCAGCCACAACCTGGAGGTTGGCAAGCCTAGGAACAGATCTTCTGTCATCATGGCTGTCCTCCGCCTCCTCCTCCCCCTCCCTACTTCAGCCCCCCCCCCCTTGGACCTACCAAAATGTTGTTCCTGAGCAGGGGTCATTTCGTAGAAAAAGAGGTGCAAGGAGCTCAATAGCATAGCTCATTAGCATAACTCATTTGCATATGCCACATCCCCTGACATCGCCGGAAGTGTGTCAGAAGGCAACACCCACTGCTCGGGCTCCACTGGACTGTTCTTGATTTCTAGCTATTTGTGTGGGGGGGGAACACGCAGATCTGTCCTCGCAGAGGAGGGAGAGCTTGTGCCTGAATAAAACTTGGTCTTAAAGGGGCCACTGGACTGTTTTGGACCAGGGGGCGGGGGGGGGGCTCTGCAACTTACCTGGCTGCTTCTTGCTCTGACTGAGGGCTGCTGGGAGCAAGGGGCGGGGCTTGTTGCATGTGCCCGCCTCCTGGGCTTTTTACTGCCGGAGCTCCGCTCCTGTGCGCTCCTGCAGGAAATGACCCCTGTTCCTGAGTGTTGCTTAGGGCTGCCAGCACCTGGTTGGGAAATAACTCGTAAATGGCTCTGCATCTACATGGAGGGAACTCTCGAGTGGAGTGCCCCAGGGCTCGGTCCTAGGCCCGGTGTTGTTCAATGTTTTTATAAATTAACTGGAGGAAGACATAGAGGGGATGCTTATCAAATTTGCAGATGACACGAAGCTGGGTGGGATTGCTAATTCTGATTGCAGTCTTCAAGTATCTGAAGGGCTGTCACATAGAAGATGGAGCAGATCTATTCTCTCTTGCTCCGGATTGCAAGACTAGGTCTAATGGGTGGAAATTACAAGGGAGTCATTACCGGCTAAATATCAGGAGAAACTTCCTAACTGTAAGAGTGGTTGAGCAGTGGAACAGTCTGCCTCGGGAGGTGGTGGATGCTCCTTCGCTGGGCGTTTCCAAGCGGAGGCTGGACGACCATCTTTCGGGTATGTTGTAGGTATGTAGGGCTATCTTTCGGCTATGCTCCTGCAGAGTGCAGGGAGTTGGACTAGATGACCTGCAAGGTCCCTTCCAACTCTAACATTCTATGATTCTATGATTCTATCTGGAGATGTGGGGGTGGAGCCTAAGGAGGGTGGGGTTTGATTAGGGGAGGGGCTTAAATGGGGTATAAGACCATAAAGTGCACAGCAGTCCGTCCGACAAAGTCCAAAGCAGGTGAACTGACATCTATCGCCTGGAAATCAGTTGTAATCCATGTGCCCTCTAAGCTGAGTTAGTGTGAGCTAGCTCATCATTTTTTAGCCTCCGGCTCACAGATTTTTGTCTTCGCTCAGGAAGGATGGCTCCAGAGCAAGCTAATTTATGCAGCGGCCAAATCACTGGCTCACCACTTTAATGCCAGAAGCTCACAAAGTAGAATTTTTGCTCACAAGACTCTACAGTTTAGAGGGAGCACTGGTTGTAATAGGATGAAATCTTCAGCCATTACCTGGCAACCCTGGTGCTGATAGACCATGGGACTGGCACTTGATGATATTTTATTTTATTTTTTATTTTATTCAATTTATACCCCGCCCTCCCCACCAAGGCAGGCTCAGGGCGGCTGGCACGATACATAAAAATACACTTAAAATCCATCATAAAACTCATTCTAACTAATCAGACCAAAAACAGATCGGTTATCCTAAAAAGCCGTCCCCTAAAACCATGGGAATGGCCTTAAGTGTTGTTGTTTTTAATGAAAAGGCAGAATAAAGTAAAGGTAAAGGTTCCTTTGCTCGAAAGCCAGTCGAATCTGACTCTAGGGTTGCGGTGCTCATCTCCGTTTCCAAGCCGAAGAGCCAGCGCTGTCCGAAGATGTTTCCGTGGTCATGTGGCCGGCATGACTAAACACCAAGACGTACGGAACACTGTTCCCTTCCCACCGAAGTGGTACCTATTTATCTACTTGCAATTTCTTGGTTTCGAATTGCTAGGTTGGCAGGAGCTGAAACTAGAGATGGGAGCTCACTCCGTCATGCGGCACACTCAGGTCTCAAACTGCTGAATTACCGACCTTCCACAGCCTACAGTTCAGCGTCTTAACCACTTGAGCCACCGTAGCTCTAAGTATCTAAATAAATTAGTAAATAA